AAGTACAAGGTCTATATAAGTACTTATAGCAAGGTCCATATAAGTACTTATAAGTACTTATAGCAAGGTCTATAAGTACTTATGGCAAGGTCTATATAAGTATTTATAGAAAGGTACATATAGAGTACTTATAGAAAGGGATACATTATAGTACTTTATAGAAAAGGTTCATATAAGTAACTTATAGCAAGGTCCACATAAGTACTTATAGTAAGTACTTTATAGCAAGGTCTATAGTAGCTTATAGTACTATATAAGTACTTATAGAAAGGTCTATATAAGTACTTATAGAAAGGTACATATAAGTACTTATAGCAAGGTCTATCTGAGTACTTATACCTTGACCTTGTTCGGAAGTCGTAAGGGCGACGAATTTTAAGGAAAGTCATCGTTTTATACAATGTCAGTATGAAGGTATCGGTGATTGCAACATTGCTAGAACTTGCAACGTATTTGATTTAAGCTAAGGAGTTGTATAAGGATTGGGAATGATGTATGTGATGAGGAATTTCATGGGCGTCTTTGCCTTCTCGTGCTCTCTTATACACTCTCTCTTTTACCCTTTCTTTTTTCTGTTTGTTTTCTTTTTTCTTGTTTCTCTGTTTGTTTCTTTCTCTATTTTTTCTCTGTTTGTTTCTTTCTCTATTTTTTCTCTGTTTGTTTCTTTCTATTTTGTCTCTGTTTGCCTCTCTCTTTTTTCTCTGTTTGTTTCTTTCTCTATTTTTCCTCTGTTTGTTACTTTCTCTATTTTTTCTCTGTTTATTTCTTTCTCTATTTTTTTCTCTGTTTCTTTCTCTTTTTCTCTGTTTGTCTCTCTCTTTTTTCTCTGTTTGTTTCTTTCTTTTTTCTGTTTGTTTCTTTCTCCTTTTCTCTGTTTGTTTCTTTCTCTTTTTTCTCGTTTTTGTTTCTTTCTATTTTTTTCTGTTTGTTTCTTTCTCTTTTTCTCGTTTTTGTTTCTTTCTATTTTTTTTCTCAGTTTGTTTCTTTTTTCTGTCTGCCTCTTTCTCTGTTTTCCTCTGTTTGTCTCTTTTCTCTGTCTCTCTCTCTTTTTCTCTGTATGTCTCTTTCTTTTTTCTCTGTCTCTTTCTCTCTGTTTGTATCTTTCTTTTTGCTCTCTCTCTGTTTCTTTGTTCTCTGTTCCTTTGATTTGTCTCTTTCTACCTTCTTTCTTGCACGATTTTCTCTATATTTCTTTCTGAAATCTCTCCATCTATCTTTCTCTCTCGCTCCACCTTTTCTCTCTCTTTTCCTCTATGCTTTATTTAGCTCCATGTTTTGTATTATATTTTTCTGCCTTGCTTGTTGTCGTCTTATCTCTTATCTTGTATCACTGGTATTTTCCCTTTCTCAAGCACAGTCATGCGTGGTGTGATATAAAAGAAAGGAAATGTGAAAACAGAAGAAGGAAAATTCAGACAACCCGTCCCTCGAAAGAGAAGATAAAAGAGAGATAAAGGGATTTTTACACACACACACACACACACATACACACACACGCAATATATATATATATTATATATATATATATATATATATTATATATATATACATATATATATATATATATATATATATATATATATATATATAATATATATATATATATATATATATGAAAATGAAATTAGCCACAATGAGAATTGAAAATAATCGTAACATTTCGATCTCTTCACGAGTTCCTCTTCAGACAAAACCGAAATGCTAACAAGGAGACAATTTTGACGTTTATATAGTGGTAGAGAGATCTGAATCAGGTCTCAGGAGGAGGAGGGTCAAGGTCGAATAAAAACAAGCATTAGAATCTCTGGCGTATCTAACATCACGTCTATGCTCATTAATTCTTTCTCAAAAGATCTACCGGTTTCGCCTATGTATATTTCGGGCAGTCCTTACAAGGAATCGTGTAAATACCTGGAGAGATATCAAGAGCTCCGCTA